CACCCAAGGGCAGAAGGATTTAATCGCCGTCAGGTCCAAAGTCCATACGCCGCCTCAGCTCTGCGGATGTCTCGGGGGTATGGCACAGTGGAATCGATTTTTTTAAATATTTGGCTTCGGTCCAAATCCACCCTAAATTACCTTTTTTTATGAATTGTCCTTGTAGATGGTTATCATTGTATATACATTTTGTAAGTAGTTATATAGTTATACAGTCAATGTCATTAACGTTGTCCACCAAAAAAATACATTTACACATTTAGACTAAAAGAAATATCACGTGTTTCCTTGAAGGTTCTGAGATAAAACGAATGCTGAAATACCATTCTCCATCTTAAACTCCCCACTCAATGAAAGGGGCATTCTGGATTTTCGATTCACGAGTTGAATTTTACATTTAAAGTTCAGGCTGACTCGCACGAGGCAAAGAATACATAATGAAACACGTGATATATTTTTTAGTCTAAATGTGTAAATGTCTTTTTTCGGTGGACGACGTTAATGACATTGACTGTACATTGTATATCAACTCGCATCTCGCGCATTTTAATCAACTCGCATGTGCCCTAGAAGCTTCCGTAAAAATCTGCTTTCGATCAAATGTGTGTTCATGAAATCCACTCATGCGATACGGCTTCCAAGTAAATTTATTCGAGCATCTGCATTACATTTCTGTACTTGCGTAAAATTGATTCAACATTGTGATCAAAACTGAAAACTAGCAATTATAATTTCGTTTACCTTTCATTAAAAAACACATTACTGTATATTAATATTATTAACAGGGACCATGGAGCATAGTTTTGATTGGGGTGCTAATCTGGGAGCTTGGCGGAAAGCCTCCCCACCCCCTGAAGATGTTAAAATTGGGGCTAAAGAAGTCGCCCTTTTAATGTAACAAATATAATTTGAAAACTTTTTCTAGTTATTGGATTTATCTAAACAAAGAATGAATGCTTTAATCATTATTTCATTTTGAGAAGTGTTTAAAGGATAAAAACCCAACAGAACCAGCAATTAAAGCCATTCCCATCAGGAATCCGGGAACTGTTGGTAGACATCTCTGGAGGAATGTCAATTGACATGGAGTAATAGCCTCATCTGGTGGTGGCGGTTCATCTTGATGGATCTCATCCTCTGGAATTCTTCCCATCTGATGAAGTACCTCTCTTGCTGCTCTTTCGCCTGCTTGGACTGCACCATCCATATACCCTGTATGCAAAGGAAAAATGTTTTAAAAAAAGGAACTAGATAAAATAGGAACGGCAAATGAAAAATAGAAGAAACATGGAACAAGTGGAAAAGGTAAACTAAGAAAAAAGAGAAAAAACTTTTCTATGAGTTTCCTGGTTTTCCAACCTCCACAAAACCTATAACATTAAGCTAAATCAAGAGAGCATTTGTGTAAATTCCTTTTAGAAAACCAAATGAGCGATTGGCTTTTCCTGTTATTTCTGTGATGTGATTGCTGCAATTTAGTTTATTATTTAACTCAATACCCAAATACTCGTGATGTTGTGCTGGTCTTAAAGTGCTACTGTGACAAAAATCGCTCAAACTTGCATTCAGCTGAAACTTCCTAAGAATACTCTCTAAAGATTCAATAATCACTGTATGAAGTGTTTTCTCGATATTCAGGATGAAAGTATGATATTTTTACGATTATTTTTTGGAGTCTGTGACGTCATAGACTCAACATTGAACATCGCTCCATAGTTTCTTTGTATATAAATAAATCCTTAATTTATTTTATTTTTATGAAGCCAAAAGGGTGGCTAATGTGCTTATTTCACATTACTTGTGRCTATAATTTATATTTTGGGGTGTTTGGGTATTTCTTTCTCCCTAGCTTTGCTACTGATATTTTGGTCATAAACTACAAAGAAATGTATGGAGCGATGTTCCATGTTGAGTCTATGACGTCACAGACTTGTCAGCAAAAAGACCAAGGTCTGACTTCATGTGCTTTCCGATGTCATTGACGTATATCAGAAATATCAGCGGGCCAAGAAGGGTGCCCAGCTGAGGATCCGAACTGGCTATAAAAAAACACCAGTTTCCAAATCACATTTCTGATTTCATGCTGCAGCATGCAGATAGCATCAGACTTTTTTATATGCCTTAATCTTACATACAAACTACATACCTGACCAAAAAGTAGCTGTTTCAGTGCCAGCAAAATACAATCTTCCCACTGGACATCGCAGTGCTTTACCATACTTTGTCAATACACCAGGAGGTATGACACTTACATAGCAGCCACCAGAATATTGCTCACCAAGCCAGTTCTTATCAACATAGTGAAAAGGGTTTAGAGCCTCCTTGCAGCCATACACTTTAGAATATTGCTCACTAACAGCTTTTTCTCTCTCTTCCTGTGTTTTGTTACACCAGTGACGAGCTTGATCCCCACTTATGAAACTGAAAATTCAGAGGTTATATGTAAGGTTATAATTATAGCATCTGAGAGAAAAAAAAATTTTCAGTGGCTTTAAAATTGCTAAATGAATCATGAACAATGCAAGATTTGATTACAGCTAGTTGAACATAATTACCCCATAAGAGCTGGGTGTGACCCATCTGGCTTGGTATCATCAATAACAGATTGTACAGGACCAGATTCTGAGTCAGCAATTGCCAGTCCATTCAGTCCTTTTTCTCTCCAGAATGCCTTATCATAGAATGTAAGGGTTTTGATCACAGATCCCATGGGYATTCTTTGGATCAGCTGATTCTTCAGTGCAGGAAGTGGAGGCTCAAAGGAAATATGGTTTAAAAGAGCTTGAGGCATGGCACTTATTACATACTTGGCTTTATAGTTCTTGCCATTTTCACATGATACAACAACATGATCACCATTTTGTTTAAGCCTGATTACAGGACTACTAAGGATAACCTGTAAAAATAAATAAAATTATTCATATTGCAGTCACTTGTTTTCTCCAACTGCTGCCTCTCATATTTTTCTTGCTGGGAAAATATGTACCACAAAGCACTCTCAACCCCCCCCCCCCCCCCCCCCCCCCCCCTATTCATTAACATCCCTGTCTTTCACTCCAACTGTTAATTTCAGAAATAGGTAATAAATAATAATAATAATAATAATAATAATAAAAATAAAGTAATAAAAATGTGTAAATGACTGGGCAAATAACATATACTCTGGCATATACTGGTAATATGTCAATAGAAGAGTCACCAATGGACCAATTATATTGGGCTATTGCATTTATGTATTTTCTGCACCCCCCCCCCCTCCCCCGTGTTGAGGACCTAAGTTTTTATGAGCCCCCTAAGAAAATCCTGGATATGAAGATCCCTGTGGATTGAATTTCCTGCTGTCTCATATTAAAGTTACCCTTGAAGAATACATAAGAAATCAGTGTCCTCAACCCAGCACAGCACAAAAAGATCCCTCAGGGGCGGGGTCAAAACAATGGTCCAAAATAGGGACCTGATTATATGAATTAAGGTGGTGGGTACCGGTACATACCCCCTCCCCCCTCGGAGACCTGTTTAAATGCTCGATACTAGGGGTCTGTAGTGGGAATTTCTATGCACAAATATGTTTTTAGCATACATGAAGACAGACAGTCTATTCATTTGAACTGTGATTTGGCTTTTAGTTTTGGAGATATTTGGAGATAAAATCTAAGATTTCACTTCCAGAGGTGGTGGGTAACAGGTAACACCACCCCTCCCCCCTAAATCGGGTACCGTGAGATGACAATTATTTTGCCCTCATCCCTAACCCCTGAAGATTTCCAGCACAAAAACACCCCCCGACATCTGAAGATTTCCAAGGTCCTTAACGAGGGGGGTCGGTAACACGACACTTACCCTTACTTTAATTTCGCTAACACGAAACTTACCCGTTCTCCTAACTTATCTTTGATCTTGTTGCTTATCTGCTGTGATCCTCCAATAAACTTTCTTTCTTGGCCACCATTATCAGYACTTACGCTCCTCAAAATACCATCGCAACATTTGAGGTACCAAAGAAAATAAAGTAGGGAGCATTCCCAAGGTTCAGTTGCAAATCCATCCTGGTAGATCTGAACCATACGTTTCTTGCAATAGGTTGTCCAGCACATCTTGTTGAAGAATTCCTCGCAAGTCATACGATCCCACTCGAGTGCATTTGGAGCTTGCCATGGGCGGTCAAGCTCAATGCTATCACACATCCTATCCACAGTGCGTATAAGATTGTAATAGTCCAATATTGCGATGGGATTCCAAGTAGACAGACCATCGCCATATTGTTTCCTTCTACCGTTAAAGTATTCAGAGGATTTGCCTTTTAAGTATACACGGTAAGTCTTCACGCCAAGATCTCTTGCAACACGTTGAATGCGATTTTGAGTTGGACCGACATATGAGCCCCCTAAGTCGGTATATTTAACTGATGGATTCTCTATGGTATGCGTTCTTCCACCCACACGGTCACGAGCTTCCAGAACAAGTAATTTGTCGATTCCCTGTTCAAACAAGAGTTTTGCAGCGCAAAGACCGCTTATTCCACCACCTATTACGATCACCTCCGTGGATTGCACATCCATCTTGCTACGAACACCAGACTGCCACGACTATTAAACCGCCGAGTTATGACCCCAGTAATGCGCCTTGATCGACGAGTCTGCTGATCTTCTTATTTGGCTATGTCACGAAAAATTCTGCGTTATTCTTCGATTGCACGTTACGTCATCGAGGCCATGTTGGTGCCATTTAACAAAAGATTTCCTCATTAGCATCCATTGTTAACGGTAATAACGGCACTACAATGGCCGCCATGTTTTTGTCTTTTGACTCTCTTGGGAATGGTTGCAACCCATCAATAATGAAGTAAGAACTTGAGTCGTGCGTCAGTCTCTTTCTACCCTGGGTTCCAGAGGGTCTTTCGCGGATTTTACTGAGAGTGGCTAAGTAAAACCGCGAAAACGGTCAACCCTTTGCGATAAGCAGTGGGCTCATGGCAGGTATTGCGTGACATTTAAAATATTGACTCCCTGTTCTTAAAAATATCATATCCCAAAATTTGTGAATTTGAAATTTTTTGAGGACATTAGAGTAAATACGAACGAAGTTATCGAGGATCAAATTTATGTACTTTTACAATGATCATATCGATAACTTCGTCCGTATAAGGGTCGGATCCAGGGGTGGCATGGGCCAACGAGTGACCCCCCTCCTTTTGCACAAATTATTTTTACTGCGATGACCCTCCCCTCTAGCTCAAGCTCCACTCCTCCCCCTCAATAAAAAATGCACATTCCCTAATACACTGGAAATATTTTATCTGGACAAGCTTTCACTCAGGGCAAGATTTTCTGTAACCATCACCCCTTTTCAAAAATCCTGGATCCTCCGCTGCGTACATAAAATTAGGTTCAGTCAGCATGCAAGTACTCTTACAATAAACAGAACTTTATTAATTATAGATGGCCCTTTTTTCTCAACAAGAGAGGGGGATGGGGTGAGATTTCTGGTATTGTGTACCAAGCAAATCCAGACATCGCCAATGAAAAAATGAAGGGTCCTTTAAATGACACCACAACCTGCCACAGCCAGAACTGAACATACATTTTTTATTCTAAACATTAAGGTGGTACTCGAGGCTAACGTGACCCCCTAGGATTCTAAAAACATTTTGAGCAAAGTATTGAAGCATTAATTGAAGGGGCTCATGCTGCATTCATTTTTGACCAGCTCTACTGATGATCTATTTAGGAGACAAGTGTTCAAATGACCGATGTAAATGTGCAAGCATTGTGTAGTTTCAGAAATTATCCATACCCTCCTATGGAGGAATTTGGAATTTCTTAGGGGTGGGGGGGTAGAGAAAGAACAAAATTGCAGAGTTTGCATGGAAAAAATTTCCAGGGGTATGGGGGTTCTTAAAAAATTCCTACGTGCGAGGGGTTATGAATAATTTCTGAAACTGAACATTTTTCAGAAAATTATCCAATTCTTGGGACACAACCTTTCTTAATTACTTTTTCTATCTTACCCTGCATAATTTATCTCTTTTTCTTCATCTGACTGGTAGAGTCCACCTTCTTCCTTCCTTAGAGGAATTAAGACTAACTGATGTAAGGCTAATTATACTATGCAAGTGAAGTGCAGACCAAAATCAGCAGCTTATTTTCACCTATATGAATTATACCTGTTCTTTACATGCAAATCACCCTTTTGCCATTTCAAGCCTCATAGGAATAAAGCTTCTAGAAATACACCGTTTCTGTAGATAAAGTAACTGAATATTGATATTTATTTTCACATTACAAACGAGGGTGTATGACTCTACAATACATCACTGTGAATCCTAGAATATTTTAGCCATAATAATTGTCAGGGTGTATTAAAATTAATGCGTAGGATGTTTTTACTGCTTCCCCACACTTCAGTGACATGGAATCAAGGGTAGCAAAGGAGTAGTACACTTGCCTCTCACTCTGGGGTGGAGTTTGATTCCAGTGGACTAGTGTACTTATTGGCGTTTCATGTGAGTAAAGTTTGCTAGGTCTCTCCCTTAATCAGGTTTTTCTTTGGGTTTCCCGGTTTTCCTCCCTCCACAAAACCTAACAATCTAAACTTCAATTAGTTGTGTATGTTGAGTGACTGCCCCGACTTTTATCAGCCCAAAGTTTGTAGTTTACCTTCGAGTTTCTCACTTACTAGGCTTCACATTCTATTTTCTGATGATTTATAGTTTTACGAGAATCAAGTCAAAATGGGATAATATGTATTCCTTGATCCATCTCTGATCTGTTATATTGTTAATAATATATTAATGATATATTACAAGGTTCGTGCTACATCTCCACGTAAAATTCCAGTCAAGGTCCAAAATTACGATTTTTAAGGATCAATTTTGTTTGGAAATTTCTTCTTTAAGCAATTTATAGGCACCACTAACRTGTTATTTTAATGAATTTCATTAACTTTGACTTTAGAAAGTTTTGAAGCTGGCTCAATGATATCAAATGTTAATAACAACCTTGCCATTCTTGGAGCAAAGTTACATTTGAAGTAACAAATGATTGTCAGCAAAAATTAGATTACAGCTAATCATAAAAAAAGGAAATGTAGCAATTTCAAGGAGTATTTCAGGAGTTATCCAGCAACTTTGCTATTTTCAAGGGGTTTTCAAGTGCAACTAAAAATGGATTTTGAATTCCAGGGCTTTTCAAGGATTTCAAGGAGTAGCACAAACCCTGTATTATCAATCTAGAAAAAAGTAATTTCACAAATTAATGATATATTTAAGTATTCAGTTAAAACAATCACTTGAACATGCATGTCAACTAGTGTGTAACCAGTGACAGATGATATTGGCAACACAATAAAAAAATCTGTTAACAGTTAGCTATAGCTGCAATAATTAATGACAAGGTATTTATGGTTCTGCCTCAGACAAACCTCTAAATTTGCTGAATTTGTTCACACATTTTTGTTAATCACTTTGGCTTTGGAAAATTAAAAATTCTACAATTACATGGTATAGATGGTTCTGCTTCAGAGAATAGCCAACCAAAAAAACATTTGTATTATTATGGGAACTATGAGGATGATAAAGTAATTTTCTTGTATTTTCACGAGACAGGAAACAGTTTGAACAAGACTTAGCTTGTGTACACTCATGTAATTTCAAACATAAAATCTGTTATGACAAATAACACCATTAATAATTAGTAATCCTTGAAAATCGGCACTAATGCCCAAATTCAGTTCAGAAGTAAATTACTTTTAGTTGAAGAAACATTAGTTTATGTTTATAAAACCAACCTACAAAACAACACGTGATATAAATTATAATCTGCTTCCTGCAATCAGAGTTTTAAATTCTGAGGTAATTTCTAGCTAAAGTTTTGAGTTTGTTGGAAATACTGTAGCAATGGTAACTATAAGGAACTCAGAGCCAGAACCATGCATCATACTAAAATTCTATATTATCACAGATCACTATTGCAACTTTTTTGCAAGTACCAATTATGGCATGCAAACCTATTTCCTATCTAATAACATTAACAAACCAATGTGTTTTTTAAACCAAAATGTTAGAATGTTTTTGGGCTATTGTGGAGGATAAGCTGGGCCTGGTCCACTGGTATAACTTGGAGGTGGGTAACCTTGGGGAGGTGCGTAACCTTGGGGAGGTGCGTAACCTTGGGGATGGCCACCCTGCTTGTTATAGGCTTGGTATTGAGGAGCAGCAGGGTACATTCCTGGGGCTGGATATCCATATCCAGGAGCAGGAGCAGGGTATGGCTGAACAGGCTGTCCAGCTGTAGTAGTGGTGTGAGATGTGGCGACAGTGGTGGCAGCAAGTACAGGGGCTGGACGTGATGCTACAACTATGCCATGTCTTGGTCTGTAGCGGTAGCGATAATACCACCAAATGATAAAGATGACCAGGAAAAATGATGACAGCAAAAACCTGTTGCATGAGCAACAAAAAATGCATATTTTGAGCAATCTCCACAAACTGTCCTTGTGTACTATAGCATGCTCTTACTTACCACAAGTACCATCTGGCATAGACCCGGGTGCAACAGGATCTGGTCTCACAGCAGTACTGGTTGCTAGAGCATCTGCAAAATTTTCAATAAAGAACAACAAAACACTAATTAATCAGCTTTCACTTAGCAAACATGAAGTACAAAAGATAAATAAACAACAAAAACAAATAAACAACAAGGGCGGATCCAGGGGGCAAAGGGGGGCTGAAGTGAAGCCCCCCCCTTCAGCATAAGAAAACGATGCTTTTTTATATTGTTTTCCATTGTGTTGACGGAAGAAACTCAATTAGCCTCCACTAAACTCAATTAGCCCCCCCCCTCCTAAAATTTTGGCTGGATCCGCCCTTGAACAAAGAATATATGATATACGACTAAAAAATATTAAATAGACCCTTTTTTACTGGATGATACAGCAGCCATCTTGAACGTGCATACAAAATTTATAAAGCATAGAGTACTGGCGGGATTACGTTGTCAAATAATTAGAAGTCTTGGTGTTTCATATATGGTTCCCACTACCAGCAAATTCAATTGCTTTTAAGATGTGCTTGGCTCAGTGCCGTATCAGTAAAAAGATCTATATTGAGAACAGTCTACTAAATGATGCTCTTCAGTTTCTGAATGCCAGAGATCTCCTTAAGGGTCAGAAAATGGAGAATGTAATATGGTAACTGAGCACAATGATCTGGCTCAAACTACTATGCATTTCAAAACTTAATGAAAACCCTGCCAAGACTCTCCAGCTAATTTATGATCTTCTCCTATTATCTAAAAAGTTAATGAAAACCATGCATGTACGATATATATGCAATATGAGACATGAGACCACTCTTTTGATATTCACAGTTGCTTAAAAATAACTCCGTTGTTTATGGATGTAGAAAATGTTTAAAACCTTAACCCTTTGACTCCTACAACACCCACTAACCCAGTCACGTGGGTTAGTATAGCCTAAAAGGAAAATACTGCTTTCAGTCTTTAGTTAATAAGGCATATACAAGAATATATTGTTAAATACTACACGGCAATAGAGCTGGTAACTACCTTTGGCCATAAATACTTTTCACTAAATTTTGAATCCTTTTACTAATCAAGTTTAACAGTTCCACTTCACTGGTTTGGATATTTGATATAAGACAATATTTGAAGAATATAATCAATGATGGAGAGATCGAGAACTTTAGAACGGTAAGCAAAAAATAAATAACCATTTAAACATATTTCTACATGTAAATGAATTTATGTTGCTTATTTGGCCATGTACAGGGTTCTCAAAATAAATATATTTAATTCGTCAATCATAACGAGTCTTTGTCAGGTCAAAGGTTATTGTGTAATTTAAGAGTATAYCAGTATATCAGTAATTTATGCAAAGTTTTTTCTCCATCTACAAAACCGCATCTGTAGTGTTCTGAAGTCCTGGAAAAAAATACACCTAAAATGTTCCAAAGTACCCCCTCCTCCCAAATAGTGGTACATTACAAAGATTAGGTGTCAAATAAGCTCCAGCATACCTGTACATTGGGCAACTCAACGCATGCACCTTAATGAAATATCAGCATCACAGCAATCTCCATGAGCAAAATATTTGAAGAAATGGCAAAATAGGTCCTACTGTAGCCTTTTATTTATTTACAAGCTCACAGAAAATCATACCAAAATTTCTCAAATGTACTGAGTTTGATCTACAAACTTTTGATGCTAAGATCCCTTGCATACTCTCAGTTCTTTGAGGAAATGCTGATTTAAGCCGTTGCAGCTTAGAGCTTCATGATGTCCTCCAGTACTCAATGGATGGACAAAATGACTCTCAAAATTTCCAGTTTTCAAAATACCTCCATATCAATAAGGCACTGCTGCTTCCTAGAAGAGCCTTTCTTCACTGGAATATTAAACTAGCTATTAAACTAAGCATCATTTGCATAAAACACTGACAATTTCAATCCAAACTCCTTGTAGACCATTAGGAGAAGAAAAACACTAACGATTTTTTTAAATTGCCCAGGGGTCAAAGGATTAAAGAATCACCTCCCTCTTATAAAATTAAATAACCCTGACTTTTTTTGTTATCTACTCAATGATCATGGTTTTTTATAACCCCTGTTTACAACCCCACTGGCCCCTGAACTGCTACCAAAAATGGTTTCTATAACTGCTAGATGATGACACATTTCATTTAATCCTTACAGATTTTGATAATCTTTATGTACTAAGAATCCTGTAATTAAAGGATGTAAATGTAAAATTTAAAGCTTCATTGGAAAGATATTTCCATCAAACAAACACAGTGCTGCAAAGGCTTGTCATTATTCTCTACTAAGTTCACATCCCCATAATACTTTGCATCTTTGGGGGGTAACCAGAGGGTAAAAACCCACTTATTTTGCTGAAGGCCCGTCAGACAATACCTTGTTTGGTATCCAAAAACAAAATGAAGAAGTAAAAAACTGAAAAAGATAGAAGCTTGAAGACGTTTAAGGTACATTTTAAAATTTTTTTCCTAAGTCAATACATTTTCTGTAAGACCAAAACTCTTGATG